TGGTCGAGCTCAATTTCCTTGATGAGCTCGTCCCTAAGATCAACCTCTACGCACACCCGTGCGACGGATAACCTCGAGCGGTTTGCCGTAGCGGCATCAGTCTCAATGGGATTGCCAATGCAACTGGCAATCGAAAAGAGAGCAGAAGGGTCAAAAAGGTGTGGTAAAAGGCCCGGGAAGCAGCACCACACCGGGACTATGAGAGATTCCTCAACGAAGGAGAAATCCGGGGTGTATTTAAACACCCGACCAGCACATCCAAAGATATTAAGATGCGTCTTAATCCAGACCGAGTTGTAGTCTTCTTTCAACTCAAAGAGAAGTAAATAATGATTATAATTCAAGAACTTAGGGGTCACTCTACCCTTGAAACCCAACTTGACCAGACCGACAGATAAATCCCGGAGGGAAGGGACAGTGAAGGAAAACTTTAAAATGAGAGCATTATCCATCGACCCAGCTAGGGAAATAACAGTGGGCTCCGGAATTTTATACTAAGTTTACAATGTAACATTACTCATATAATAAACAAACCAAAACTCGGAATGTTGAAAATTTGGAGCTGAAATTAAGCTGACGAGAGGTTGTTAAGACGCGCTTTATCAAGTATTTTTTTTTTTAAGGTAATAAAATAAAAAGTCACCCATGTTAATGACAGAGACAACAGTTGCCCTGGATTGTTGTACCGTAAATTGATCGAGTTCTGCAAAGAAGAAATTTTTCAGTTATGGCTCTGCTTCTGCTGATTGCGTTCATAATTGGGGCGCTAACTGTTGTTGTCATGGAGGCAGCTGGACTCTGGTTTCTGATTCGCTTTCTCAATCGGAAAGCGGAGAGGAAGGAAATTAAAGCCAAGGATGCGGCATCTGTTTCTTCTCCCGGTGACCTCAACCCGTCGTTATCCAACAAGCAGGTGATTTGATTCCTACCTTTCAGATTACTTAATCTCCACACAGTTACTGTAAAAGTCTTTGTCTCTGTTCTCGTCACTGTCATAGTTTCTTGCTTTATATCCGCGTTACATTAAAATCGTAGTGCTACTATTCGATTGTATTAAAATGGGAAACCAAATACCAAGTGCAGATCATTCGTTTTAAACATAAAGCTGGACTGGGAACCATAATTGAGGTGGAAGTTGATATCTGTGAGTAGGGTTGTATGTTAGGTCATCTTACATCTCTTCAAATTGCCCAGAAATGGATTCTAGTTTGTGTGGTGTATTTATTCTCATCCTTTTGTTTCAGGGGCCTGTTTGGATTCTAGTACATGATAAAGTTCTCAAATCAGGGCTTGAGAAAAAGGAAATCTTGGAGGTCACGCCTGTCAAAAAATCTGCAAGAATAAGAGATCATTGTCTTATACTGATGGAATCAGATGGTTCCTGTGTAGAAATTTCGCTGAGAGGCTGCACAATTGTTGCCGTTTCGGCTACAAGCTTGTCTTCAAGAAAATGGTAATCAAAGTTTACCTAGACACGGTTTTTGGGAGTTCAAATTGTAGAAGATTTGTAGTCAAATATCGTAATGTACCATTTCATACTTCATGGCGAGCATTTTAGTACGTTCTTTCCTGAGTAAGAACTAATGAAGTTGATTGTGGATCTGACTCCTTTGATACATTCAAATGACAGACAGGGCTATTGAGAAGCTGATTGCTTTATTAGCTTGTTATCTTGCAGTTAACGAAAATGTTTAATTTGTATTAGTCTTCTTTCCCTATTAACAGGGCTAAAAGGTACCCAATCAAGGTGGAGAGAAAGGATTCAGCTGTATATAGAGGACATAAAATTATTTATATATATCTTGAGACATCTTGGGATAAGGAATCCTGGTGCAAAGCCCTTCGTCTGGCTTCCTGTAACGATAAAGAGAAAATTGCATGGTTTTCTGAGCTAAATGCGGAGTTTCACTCTTACCTGGCGTCACTGAATGCAGGATATCCTTCATTCATGAAGCCATATGGTGGTTCAAATACTGAATCTATAGACAAGTTGATTAAGTTTGACAATTCTTCATCGAAGGTTCGTCAGTTTCTGAAAAAACTTACGAAGAAGGCTTCTAAAAGTGGGCAAGACTATAAAGCTAGTGGGGCTTCAACATCAGGCCACGAAGAGACAAAAGTTAATCAAAATTCTCGTTCGTTCCAGGATCTATTCCTGATAAATGATATAGCTAAAGTGGACACTGCAGGAAAAATTCCCGGCATAATATCTGATGATGCTAGCGTTACATCATCAGTTTCCTCTGCCATTGAGAGTGGGATCGAAAACCATTTACCTCAAATTACGGATGAAGGAACCTTGTGCATTAACGTGTTAATTTCACGGCTATTCTTTGATGTCAAGAGCAGTTCTCAGATTAAGACTTTAATACAGAATCGTATACAGGTATGCTTTGTATGGTTTACAATTTATATAAAGTAATATAGTGCTTACTTATGTAATCTTTTTACTGCAGATTTCTCTACGAGCCTTTGTTATTATTTAAACAATATTGTGCTTAACCATATGATCTTGAACTGTAGATTTCTCTACATGCCTTGTTATTATTTACATTAAGTATTATAGTGTTTTACGCATGAATTGGAGAAACCTTGTTTAGAGGATGGTGTGTATATATATAACTCATATTTAGACTGATGAGGTATTACTTTACCTTTCCTTCATATCGATTCATATAGGGCAACTTCAAATGTCGTACTGCATTTTCATATGCGGTTCAAATTCCATATGTACCTTTTAATCTATACTTGTATAATGCAACAGAGAGCATTATCTAATATGCGAATCCCCAGTTACATCGGTGAGGTCAGTTGTACAGCTGTGGATCCTGGCAATCTGCCACCGCATATCCTTGCAATGAGGGTTCTCCCATCAAATATGGATGAAGTGTGGTCCTTGGAAATTGATCTGGAGTATCAGGGTGGCATGGTTTTGGACTTTGAGACAAGGCTTGAAATTCGAGAATTAGAATTAGAAGGAGGTGAAACTAGCTTTGGTATGAACAATGCTGGCGAGGCCACCTCTGATCTGCTGAAAGGTTTTGAAGATCTTGGGGAACAATTGAAGATTTCTGAGGAGACACCTATGGATATTAAACAAAAGGATGAAATATACCATGGGAAAGGTTTGAAATTGAACTACTTGCTTGTTTTTTTTACTGAATGCATTGTGAAATGTTCTACTTCACAGAACAACTTGATTTGTTCTTGCAAAATCACTAGTGTGTCAACCATCCATCACATAGTGCATTATAGAGAACTATTGTATGATTATGATTATAAAGATTTTGATATATCGAGTATGTGATTACCCGGGAAAAATTGTATCTCAGTATTCAATTCGTCGATACTTCAAAGGCCGTATACGTAACTTTTCAACTGTGCGTAATTATGCAGACAAGGCTGAAAACCCCAAGGGTACTGCACAGGCATCATCTCAAGGATCTAGATGGAAGTCTATGTTACATTCTATCTCCAAACAAGTGTCACAGGTTTGTAATTACATTTTACATTCCCTCTTTTCTGAGTAATTTTTGTTAAGCCGCCCCTATAAGTTCACTTCTAGAATCATTTATGATGTGATACTTTGCATCATGTGTTTGCTTTGTGATCATCTATTTTCCTCTACAAAGTGTTCTTTCTAATGTTGAATTATTATGGAACTTGTCCACTGTCAAAAAGTTTTATGGTTTATATAGGCGGATGGATGAGATATCTTAATTCATGTGATTTTAGCTTTTAAACAAGCCTTTGTCAAGTGGGTATAATACCTCTGCATTTTGGATCTAAGAAAATATCTTCCAATATTATCTATGTATACATATACATGACCTGTCTTTGCTCCCCTGCTGACAGAGTGAATTGAGGGTTAAAGTGAGTATACACGTCATTGGTGGGTAAAACAAGATCTTCCGTAATCCATATTGGTGATTGTCCAGATATATTTCTTGGATTTCATAATTGGATGACTATTGGCCCGCAGGTTTACGCTTCTGACGTGTCAATTTACTTATAGGTTCTATGATGTGATTCATTTCGGAAGCATTTAAAATGGCAGTAACTTTTTCATATTAGACAGTTGTGTGGTCAAAATGATTATTATATATAGTTCTGACAAGTTCTAAAAAAGTGTTGATGATCAAGTCCGTAGTAAAACTACATTTGGTAGCCCCATATGTTCTTTACCATTGTGAAAAAGTAAAAAATACCACAGATGATTGTGAGATGGAACCAAGTTGATGTTGATTTAGCTAATGGATGTTGTCATGGGTGTATTATCTGATTTTCGCAAGACATGCATAACATCGAAATTGAAACTAAACACACACTTTTTACGTTAACCTGAGTATTTGTCATTTATTGAAGGTCCCTCTTGCCTTGGGAATAAAGGTTTCTTCTCTTAGTGGAACTATGCGGTTGTGCATGAAGCCTCCACCTTCAGATCATATATGGTTTGGGTTTACTTCTATGCCTGACATTCAGTTTAACTTGGAATCTTTTGTTGGAGACCACAAAATTACGAATGGACATCTTGCTTTGTTCCTCATCAGTCGATTCAAGGTATATCCATTTGTTTAATATGGATTCATATTGTCTGTCTTCTTACTCCTACCACATTATATGCTCCCGAATATTTGATGCTTAAGAAGTATGTCTGTCTAGCTAATAATAATTTGTTCTTCATCCATATGATTTTTGCTATTAATTTTTCTGTCATCTTTAGAAGTCTGAGCCTGACTCTACCGTCTTTCTTGCAGACTGCTATTCGTGAAACTTTGGTGCTTCCGAATAGTGACAGTGTTGGAATCCCTTGGATGTTAGCAGAGAAAGATGATTGGGTCCCAAGGAAAGCTGCTCCTTTCATGTGGTATAAAAACAATCAAGACTCGATTGCAGCCAATAATAATAATACCACAAAACAAGGTATACCACGGTGCTTCACTGGGGAAGCTCAAGCTACACAACAAGGTGGAGCCGAAGCTAACATTAATACAAATGCGTCAACTCGATCATTACCAATGTCTAATGAGAAAACCAAAGACGTTGAGGGTTGTATATCGGAAGCAATTGGTGAATATTCGGATGCTTGTGCATCATCATCGAGTTCAATGGATGAGTCAACATTTAATGAAAATTGTTCCCAAGAAATCAGAGCCCCTTTACTAAACAAGGATAAATCGCAAGAATTTGGCACGATAGATGATGATAAACCAGATAAGCACCTACAGTCTCCTTCACAAATCTTTGTAGAGGGACAAACACATAACTCGGACGATGAAGAGTCAAGAATGAGGAGGATAGGGACTAGAGAACGTATGCGTGGATTGGGGAAGAAAATGGGAGAGAAACTTGTGGTCAAGAGGCGTCACTTGGAAGAGAAGGGAAGAAGTTTTGTGGAGAGGATGAGGGGACCATCATAAATTTTATTTTTGCAGTAAATAATGTAACATCTCTTACTTTGGCTGGGCTGTGACGATTTTTTTTTTTTTTTTTTTTTTTTTTTTTTTTTCTTCTTGTAGAGTGTCTAACGATTGTTGCCTATTATTTTTTATCATAAAATCGATTTCTTTTTTTTTTCTTTTCCTTCAATTCTGGTTGTAGCGTAGAGAATGTTTATTCCAGTCGACGGGAGATCCTGTTGTACGATTCATCCCAGTCTAGAGTTAAGTAGTACGCCAGAGAAAAGAAATTACACTACATCTTTTTCACTTGTGTTTCTCCCAACCTTAGACATTTGGTAGTCTGTCGTAAAGAAAATGCACTGCATACCAGTTACGGTCGTTCCTTTCTCATGGGGATTGTGATTGTTATCATCACAAAAAATAAAAGTGAAGAATCAAGCCATGATGCTGCATACATGTATAAATAGGTTGGTCGATGCAAACATCTTTCATATATGAATCAAGTTGGTCAGGAAGAGCAAAGGTTTTTTATTTGATTAAATGCTAAACGAGCAGCCTCATTATGGGTGATGCTTGCAACCTTACTTTGGAGACAGAAGGTACATTTTTTGCTGCCTCATTATTGGTTACTTTACTTTGGCGTCAGAATGTACATTTTGCAGTCATGGGGATCCAAAGAAGCCGAGATATGTTCTTTCACTGAACTATGAGTCAAACGCTGTAGAGGAAGAGGACAATACAAAAGAATGAATGTTGTTACACTTTGGAAAAAAAGGAAACATGGGAAAGCATCCAATCCAATCCAAATTAAAAAGCCGTACCTTCCAAAGGTCTCGTGCATCAACCATTGTTGATGAACTAAGCCCTACATCCGACCAGTGAGCAGTAATTTTAGCTTTTGTAGATCCTCTGTTCCATAAAACAATGGCAACTCTATTTCCGCTTAGGGGTCCTCCCCACACCTGCAATGCACAACAACAATTTTACTATTGCGTAGATAAATGTGCAACACTAAAATGTTGTGTTCCATCTTTTTTTTTTTTACCTCTAAATCCCCATCTTTCTTTATCTTTTTCCCTTGAATGCCGAGTTTATCTGATGAAGAAATGGAAAAAGGTGAGATAAGTAGCTAGTCAAAGTTGGCATGGTTAAGCTCTCGCGCACCTTGGTTCACGGCAATAACCTCTTCATTGCTTAAGAGTGCCAGTGTCACATTGTCCATTGATCGAATATCACACCCAATTATCAGAGGCGCCTAATGCACACCACCAACACAAATATGTCTTAAAATAGTTCAATGTCAAGGTTTTTTTGTTCATCCAACTTCTTTCCGCAGTTACTTACTTTCATTAATGCCCATATGCTGAAATGTGATCGGTATTCTTTGGCGTTCATTCCTCCATTTCCAACTTCCAACATGTCCGGATCTATGCACAACCGCATGGAAAAGTTAATAATCTATCCGTAGACCTCAGAGCACAGCAGCAAGAAAATTTATATAATTAGCCGTTTTCGAAAAATATCGAGTAATGCTATAGGTATATAATAATGTACATAGAAGAGTACATAACACTCACATTTAGTGTGGACCTACCAAAATTAAAAATCAAGTGGACCCTACTCCATGTGAGTGTTATGTACACCTTTATATACATTTATTATGTATATGTAGCATTTTTCGAAAATATTACCAAGACAAGGTAGAGAACATGCACAAAAATCCTACCATTCCATCCACCTGGCCCAGCATAGGATGCCCATTTGTCGTTGAGATCCGCGAGAGAAGTCATGCTAATAAGATCCACAAAAGAAACCAGAAAAACTGATAATCTATAATCTATATCTATCTAATGATTTACCATTTAAGGACATAAATATATTAATATAACTTCATTAATATTTCACTCAACCTACATTTAAATAAAATTTGAAATGTCCATGTTACCTCCAAAAAGATTATATTATGTTACTTCCAAAAAGTTATATTATGTCTTATTCTAAATACATTTACTACTTATAATATAAACAAATGAAATTTTCAAATAACAATTTTAATTTTAATTAGAATAATTTAAATACTAAAACACATGACCTAATATAAAATTGTTTTAAATAATTTCAAATAAAACGTTTTAAATCATTATCGTGGTGATTTTTTAATCATGAATGTCATGACATAGTACTCAAATTTTTCTTATAATATTCCTTGTGTATTTTATAATTAACAATTTTTTATAATATTAATTTATTAAAAAAACTGATTGGTATCCAATTTTTTTTTTTTTTGGTACAGGGACCTTCCGGTTTCTGGATCCACAAGGGAACCGACTAATCCGGAATCGAGCCGGGTAGGACCACAAGGGCGGCAAAGCTCTCCCTCAAGAGTTTTAACACTATTGCATTCCCAGGGCTCGAACACGAGACCACTGGTTAAGTTGGAAGAGACCCAAGCCATCTCATCCAAGCGCTCTTGGGTTGTATCCAAATTTTTAAATGAATGTACTTGCACAACTCCATAACTAAGATTTTTCATGTAGAAATATTAAAAATTCTTGTAATGCGAAGTCAATAAAATATATATAAAAAAATAATCCTTTGATCTGATCTTTTATTGAAACCAAACATTTATCTATTTAACTATTTTTTTTTTCCAACGTCATAATGTATAAATCTTTTTTATTCTTATTGTATTATTTTATTATAAATATATTAGTCAATTAACTTATGGTTCTCATTGTTTTTTTTGTTATTTGCAAAATATTTGTCGTTATTTTTTTATTAATTTTTTAAAAATTAATGTCTTAAAATGTTTGTATGTTATTTTTTTAATTAACTTTTCTTAGTATTAATGTATTAAAATAATTTATGATTTCTGTCCTTTTTTTTAATGAATATATGTCACAACTACATAAATGAGATTTTGCATGTTTTATTATTTCATTGCTTTTTACGTACATAAATAATGTTTTATCTACACAAATGTTTTAAAATATTTTTTTCAACTTCATAAATAAGATTTTGCATGTTCAAATATGAAAAATTCGTGTAAAGCAAAGTCGACAAAAGAATAACTGGACATTTTTCTTTAAAACCAGTTTATGAGGAGGCAAGCCACTCGGAGCATAATTTCTATTTGTGTCATCGATGACTTCGTCAAAGCTGTTAAATATTTTCTTTTCTCGCGTACTTATATTATATTTATTATAATGTGGTGGTCCTATAACCAACCAAAATAGAGTAAAAAACAACAAATTCTAACTTATATATTTACTTGTTATTCATTTTATTCATTTAATCCTAAAACTCCAATTAGACTTAAGAAAAAAGAAACGTAAGTTTTGGATATTTGTTGCCTTTTCATTATTTTATTTTATTTTTGGATATTTTAGTATTGTGATATTATAAGAAATTACCTTCATCAATGTTTATTTTCATCACTGTGTATTTAAATATTTACTCATATCTATATTTATAGTTATAAAATAAATTACATGTAATGAAGAGTTTATAATTTTCAAATTCTAATAAATGAAACTATATTTTAGAACCTTCTATCATTTCAGTAAAAATTAATAATTCCAATTTAATGTCCTATATATGATTATTTGATATGTGATAAATAATTGTAGTATAGTCAATTTTCAACGTTGTGAATGTATTAGTCTTTTAAATAAAAGTGGGAAAATGAGTTACAAATCATTATTATCAACTCTAATATAAGATATATTTTTAATATAAATTACAGTTGAATGGTCGTAAATGTTCAATGTCATTGTAAAAATTTAGTAAAAACACACAGAAGTATATATCATGTGTAACAAGTTTCTACGATAATAATCAATTTTTAATAAGTAAAAATATAACTTTTATGTAATATACGATCTACTTTCTTTTTTAGTTTAATCGAAATTAAGCAAAATAAATTTAACTCATTTTTTACTATGGTATTTTAAATCTCTAGAATAATTAAAATGGATTGAAGTTCAATTTTAAAATAACTATCTTATAAGGGAGAGTTGTTTATTGAAAAAGATTGAATTGCCGAAAATTTCATACGCTATAATTAATTTCTAAGGTTACTAATGTGATATTGTTACAATTGTTTAGGAATTTTGAAATATTAATAGTTACAATCATTTTTTCAATCAATATTTTTTTTTTTCATTCTACTTTTTATCTATGATCTTGTTAATATTTTTATTTTTTTATCTATTCAATAATTTAATTTCGTTAAGGTTATGTTGCATAAATATAATAATGAAAAGAAAATTATATTGCACTATTAAATTAAATATAGTAATAAAAATAATTTTAAGTAAAAAAATATCACGTGCTAGTTATCTGAAAAGGAAAACAAATGACTTGGAAAGATATTGTTAATAAGGTCCACAAAATGATAGTACTATATATGTTACCAAGAGCTAAAAATTTGTAGTTTTCACCTGTCCCAGCTATCTTTAATGTCTCCAGTTGTTCTCCAACTGTTCCCAACAGACTTTGCCCAAGTTGCAGGATCTTCTTGGCCCCTGTCATTAATTAAATTAATATGGAACAACACATATGAAGATTATAAATTTCATTGTATGACCTTTAGGAAGGAAGTAGATAGAATATTGCTTTAAACTTACCATTCACACAAAGAGTAAAATATTGACCTCCCAGAATTCAGTAAAGCCTTGGACATTACAGGATACCTTTGATCAACAAGCAAATGGAGCATTACATTTCAACGTTTCTATCTTTTTTACGGTCTCGAAGGAAATCCAAAAGTATAAATAACAGATTATGATTGCGGAAAAAGATATGTTACCTTTCCTTGGCGCTGATATTATTGTTGTTGCAATTGTCGTACTTCAAGTAATCAATCCCCTGATTTGAGGAAAAAGAAAAACAAAACATAGAAGAAATTAATTAAAACTCATGATCATATACAAATTGATATGGCAAAGTTGAATGGCTAGAAATTGTAAGTAAACCCATGAGGCAAATGTTTTTGCATCTTGATCCTCATATCCTAGTGATCCCGGCATTTGCATACTACACGTCTGAGTTCTGCAAAATAACAACACAGGATAATGCATATAACCCGAATGATATCATGCATCCCATTTACAACATAGCACAACATACATCCTACAAGAAATTAAGCATTGTGTTTTTCTAAAAACTTTGCTAATATGAAAAAAAAAAAAAAAAGTATAAATATACCCAGCGTCAGAGTAGATTCCAAGTTTCAATCCTTTTCCATGAACATAATCTGCCAGCGCCTTAATTCCAGAAGGGAAAGTAGAATATTTGGCCACAAGATTCCCCTGCAATTGAATTTCAAAGGCATACATGCAGTTATAGTGTGTGGTCAGTTGGATGTCAGATATATATCAACAGTAGTTGAAAATGCATACAATTTTGCAAATTTACCTGAGAGTCTCTATTGAGTTCTGCCCAGCAATCATCTGGAGAATGCCGAAAAGATGAAGAATACAATTTAGCAGAAAATAAAAACAAATAGGTGCATCATACATACATAATCCAAATTTGAGATATGGAACTGGCAATATGTATATATGTATTTCGACAAACCAAGGTTTATATATTCATATCCGAGCGCGGAAAGTCCAGTCGATATCATTGCATCAGCTGCAAGCAATTAAATGGCAGACCAACTATATAATAGAGATGCTACTATATAGTAATTAATTGGTGAATTAAAATATGTCAAAACATTGCATAAATTAACCTGTTTCCCTGATCAACGCTTCGTTGATGTTACATTGGAAATGGTTCCAGCTGTTCCATCTGAAGTATGAACCAAAAAAAAAAAAAACAGTATCTAATAAATTCTTATTTTAGAATATTATTCAAAAAAGAAAATTTATTTTCTTATGACATAGTACTATATATAGCAATATGTTGCAGTATCTTTTTCCTTGCATAACATAAAGGTCAAGTAACGTGAAGAATCCATGTCCTTAATTGATTAATAATAATATAACAAAGAAAGAATTAAGGTGAAGAGGATAGATAGTATAATAATAATAATAATGTAAAATTAAATTAAAAGTCTATTTACCCCATTTGAGGAGCTAGGCCAAGTCCATTCTCGAGAAGTTTGTTGCGAAAGGTCGGCAATCGAGCAGATGTTGCAGAACCATTGAAGCAGATAGTGAAGCATATTGCCGCCACACTCATTAGTACCATTACTGCTCCTCCTCCTCCTGCACCACCCAACTTTCCAAAATCAAACATTTTCTTATTTGTATCTCCGATCCACAATTAATTAATAATTAAGATCATGAGCTGGTCATGAGTGAATTAAGTGAAGAGGATCTCTTCTCTTATTATATATATATATATATAGGCAAAAGAATGAATGATGCATTCTAAAATGATTGATGACTGATTGCAGCGTATGTACCAAGGCAAACTGCACCTATTAAATTAAATATCAACCTTACATGTACGTGTAAATTATTTACTATTGCAAGTTGCATGCATTCAAATGTAATGTGGTAATTAAGCTTATTAAATTTGTTCTTTACTAAACTGTAAGAAAAAATAAATAAATAAAAAAAAAAAAAGGAATAAAACGCATTAGAGATAGTAATTTACCAGTTACCACCCCTTTCTCCTTTATCTCCACAATTTTTGTCAGAAGAGACTACTGACTACGTACAAATTAATGATTATAATTAAGTAAGATAAGATAATGGCTACAACTTGTATACTATATGTGTTTTTTGACTTTGCAATTTATAGTATTTTTTAGTGAAATACAGCCTAAACATTCATATATAATTTGATATTTATTGTTCTTCACCTTGACAGTACAATCATGTGCAAAATGGACACCTTGTGACAATGGTCCAAACAGGAGGAATTGTACGAATAAAGTTTAGGAAGATCAAATTACATTTTACCAAAATAATAATAATACTAATAAATAAATAAATAAAATAATTATAATTAATTATCTTTTATGAATTCATTTTATTTTTGTATTTTGACAACAAAATAATGCAGCTGCTTTTTCTGCCCCTTGGTTTACTATTCCAGGTTGTTTTCGGTTTCGTGCAGCTAATCCCATAATGTCTCAACAACCTGCAGATACTACAAAATAATGTAACCAAAAAAAAGCACCATTTTTTAAGGACAAAAGTTGGATGCATGCATGCTACCTACAAACCATTAGATATGCCTGCCCTCTCATGATCCTCGCGGCCGGCCACATGTAATTATTATGATTATCCCCTTCATCTTTCACTCATGACAACCTGAAGCGACCAACTCACAAGCTTAATTAATCAGCTCGACTCTACTTGTTTGATAATTAAACATAGTTCGAGCTCATTTAGTTAACGAGTCATGCTCGAGTTGGTTCAATAAGATTAATCGTTTAGTTATCGAACTGACCCAAACTTATTAGAGGTGTTACTAAGTATTAGAATGCACGCTATTTGAGAGGCACATGGATGACATAAGTGTTAAGTACGTACAAGACTAAGTTAAACACATGAATAAGATTTGAACACACCTACTAAAGAAGAAATTAATAACGAACAGTATTACATTTTACAATTATAGATGACAATATTAATTAAAATTTTTGTCCAGATAAATATTAATCCTATACTATTTGTGTCTCACTCATCATTATCATACCATAAATATTGTACAAATGAAATCTACAACAAGATTTTTCCATTAATAATTGTGCAAGTGAAAAGAAACAGAGTTTGGTGGCATTAATTATTAGAGGGGCAATGAATGATTGAATGATTCTCCTCTTCTCTTCTTTCACACATGAAAAGTTAGAAAGATAAGACTAAGCCTTAAAGTTCACTACTTGCTATGTCACTACTTGAGATGGGCATCATCGTCATCATCATCTCTTATGCACTTTTTCCAGAAAAAATATCTATTGATTTTGACGGTAGATTTTGAATACTTATCTTGTTAAATTTTTATTATATGTTATTTTATGCAATCGTTATTTGTTTTTGTAATTTTACTAATGTTTTTAATTTTTCTTCACTTTTCATCATTATTCATAATAAAATTCTAAACCTGTAATTTCATATAAATAAGTATATTTTATTATACTAGTAAAGTGCACGTGCAATGCACGTAGTGACAAATATTTTTGGCCGATAAGATAAATTAATTAATTTATTAAATATATAATTGCAAGAACAAAATGAAATATAGAACAAATAAACTCTTAATATAAATTTTTTGTTAAAAGCAACATAATGATGTCCTAACATAAAAGGATTTAAATAACATGTTACAAACTCAAACAAAAATATATAAGAAAATAAGTCCTAATAATAATAATCATAATAATAATAATAATAATAATAATAATAATAATAATAAATAAGGATCTAATGTATATTATAGATGCATGAGTTATTTTATCTATTTATAATGTTCGAGAGTCATTTTTTTTTCATTTTAATTTTGAGTTCTCATAAGAAACATTCATACTCATTAGAGTCCAATACATCAATAGTATTGCAAAATTATTCTTAATTAATTAGTAAAACGTCTACTTTATTCAACACTTATAAATACTTTAGCCAAACATATAGTCAAACTTCATAATTGAAAGATCATTATAAGGTATTTCAACTAACATTTCATAATTATCTATGTGAAATAACCAACTGTGTCACTGGAATTCGTGATTTTTTTTATCATTGTATAAACTACTACATTACTCTCTCTCTTTCTCTTTCTCTCTCCCCATATAGACAAATTGGTACCTATCATACAGGGTGAGAACGAATTTTATTTCTAAATAAGAGTTGATTTTTCAAAATCATGTACTTCTTCGAAAAGATGCTAAACTATTTTTATTATCATCATGTTACATGAAATACATACTCTAAAGTAATTGCGCATATTCTCGAGCACAATACACAATTAAGATTGTAAATGTTCCTATTAAAAAGTGACAACTTACTCAAACATTCAAAAACATTTTGATCAGAATCGAACATTTTCTTTTTAGTGTTATTTATTTAGAAGATTGACAAACTACATAACCTATTGTTTGCAAATCATTAACTATTTTGGTTGTTGCAATGATTTCAAAGTTATTTGTCTTAATACTTTTCCCAATCAATCGAATTTGTAATATTGAGAAGCATATCACTTTGTCAAAATATTTCAGATGAGAAGAATTTGAATTATATTATATTATGATACTCTTAGTCATATGAAGTTTATTATTATGACGTCATTATTAAAGTTTGTGGGCCATATTATGACTATATGGAATCATTATTTATGATTACTAATTTCTTATGGAGAAAATAATTTAAATGCTAGCTAAAAAAAGTAGTAACTATAAATAAAAGTATTTTGTTTCTTGATATTGGTATTCATGGTACTCATACTTTTCTAAGAAAATTCAAACTTTTTCCTTTCCCATTTGCATTAACATTCTATTTATATGCATTGTTTTTTTTTTTTTAACTTGTTTGATAGTAATAATATATTTGATAAAAGTGTACTTTTATATTGTTTATAATATTAAAATTCTTTAGATCTTTTTTCCATTGTTTGCTAAATAATAAGTAACTAACTCATTTTTATATTCACAAAGTATATTTTACACCCCTTATGGTGTTTCATTTCAAGCAGTAATTGAATAATTGTTTAACATACGATCCATTAATTTTTTTTTAATTCACATATTAACATAGGTGATAGTGTACGTTTACATCTATTTTCCCTTTTTTCTTGGTATGAATAATTAAAATATATGTAAGAAAAATATACCACAAGTTTATCTATTATTATTTTATAATTAATTATTTTAATTGAGTTAACATGTGTCTATAATTTATTTTATAAGATACTTTTAGGTCTATTTATTATTTTTGTTCAATAAAAATAAATATATTTTTATTTTATTTACAATACATTGACCAAATCAAACATGATGGGAAAGAAATAATGTGATATTATATATCACATAAATAAAAAATATTAATATTTCAAAATAAAAAATTTAAAAAATATAAAAAGAATTAAGACTAACATACTGATTTCTAATAAAAAAAATTATAAATATGCATCTTAAGTATGTTTTGATTTATCATTCGCTAGCTTCAATTGATATAGGACATTTATTAATTTTATTATTATTTTTTTTTTACTTTTGGATGGAATGTGAGCTATAAGCTTTCTTGTTGTGTAGTATTATCTTTTTTTTTATACGTAAAACATCATTCTTACCTCTTGTTTAGTTATTACAATACTAATAAATAAAAACGGACTTTTTCAACCTAGATATATCTTTTTTTAAAAAAAGAAACACTAATTATCATAAGTTAAATCATAAATACATTGAATATGTTATATTTTGTATCACTGGCAATAATTTTCAAAATAGTTAACTGCACACGATATTATATATAGTGCAAAATTGTTTGATTTGATTTGGAGTCACTTTTACTGTAAACAAATGATAAAATTTCAATGAAACATGTTACAACGAAATTTTAATGATTTTTTTTTTATAAGAAATTGCTTTGTGTGAATAATACAAATAAATAGATAGATGAGTAATGATAATATAGCGAGATTATTTATTTTTAAAATTTAATTAATTTTCAAAGTATATAGGCATATCATGATTATCCATATATTTTTAATTAATTTATAGATAATCATATGATCTAAATTAAATCATGTTGCTCAAATGGTATTTTATTCGACATGAAAATAAATAGTATGGGTTTTAATTTTATACAAATTCATAAAATTGTTCTAATCTTATTTTAATAAAGGAAATTTAGTATATTAGAAGTTTAGGCTGCAACATAACAATTCAACCGTTCTCATACTACTACACAATTTATTCTTTTTTATAGGTTATTTTGAAAAACAAAAAAAAATGTTTCTTTACTTTATGGGCATTATGAGGAAAAATATTATCGATTTCAATTTTCTTACTTATATAAGTTATAGTTTGTCTTTTATATTTTTATGATCTATTCTAAATTTTTGAATAATTATTTTCAATTAATCAATCACAAGAAGTACATTACATAATGGACAGTGTCAAATATATTGAAAGTTGAAAAAATAATATTTAAAAGTAATAGTGAAAAAGATTGCATGAAAATTTTGGTTGAGAAACCTTCATTATCTAAATTAGTCTTGTTTATTCGAAATCTTTTTTGTTTGGGGAAGAATGACAAATATGAACAGTAAAACTAAATTAAAATCTTTGA